GGTTCTTCCTCACGGGACGGGGGGCCGCACGCCCGCTGCCGGCCGGAGCTTGCTCGCCCGGGCCGAGGGTTGGCCTCGGACCTCTGGGGGCCCCTGGCCTTCGCCTGCCCGGGCGTCGGCGTCGCCCGCCCGCCAGGCCAGCGGGCTCGATTTTGTTCGCCTGGAGGGCCTTGGCCGCGCAAGGCGTCGCGAGGATCCCAAGGATCGCAAGGACCAGGAGGCTCCAACAAGACCACCTAGCCCAGGCCTCCCAGATGGTCAGAGGAGGAAAAGGTACCCATACCGCTGCCTCTTCCTCGTTTTCCCCTTTTTGGGCCTGGGAGGCCCTCGTCGCCACCGTCGGATTCGCCTCGAAATCCTAGTCAGAACGCACCCTGGGAGAGGTCTGGGGAGTAGCGGTATCGGTACCTTTTGAATTCTCCAAGGACCAGGAGGATCCAACAATGCCACCTCCTGGCCCAGGCCTCCCAGATGGGGCCCGAGGAGATGGGGTCGGGGGAGCGCGCCGCCTCGCCGATGCATCCGCGATGTGGCTCGACGCGGAGCCCGAATCCGTCCACTCCGGCGGCGCCGATGCATCGCCAGCGTCGCCGAGGCATCGGCGATGCGGCGCGATGCTCCGATGCATCGGCTCCCTGCGCCGCCCCGGGCGCGCTCCGTGCGCCGGCGCTGGCACCGGAAGTCCGCATGGACGTCCGGCAGTTTATGCAGATGCAGTCTCTCGTGCTTTGTGGGAGGGACGAGGGAGGGAGGGGCCCCCCCCCCCAGGAGCCCTGACCTTCCAGAGTGCCAACAAAATAGCACTCGAGACCTAGAAACCTATCTGGACTGCCTCAAACCTCGACAGAAATTAGGAAGTCGATGTCCTGGTGCTATCTTTTAGCCCTCCTGGAAGGTCAGGGAGGTTGTCCCCCCCCCCTCCCCCGAGGGCTCCCCCCCGGGGGGATTGAACGTGCACGCTGCCCGTCGAGCTTCTCCGCAGGATCCTCCCGGGCGAGCTCTCCGTGCAGCCCGACCGCCAGCGCCGTGACCTCTTCAACGCCACTCAGAGGCCCACCTCGAGCTCTTGGAATTACCGCAGCCTGTTTTGGCAAACTGTCCACGGCGTTAGTTCGGAGCGGACAGTTCGACAGATCAACAGCTGAGCTATCGATCTGTCGCAATCTACCCACTGACTTGACCTGACCCTTTCTTATGGACAAGCTCGACAGCTCGAGGCGGCCCTCTGAGCAGAGGCTTCTCTTCAGCTCTGGCACCCGCAGGCTCGTCGCCAGCTTCAGGACCGTCAGGCCGTGTGCATCAGATTGCCCGGCCCGGCACGGGCGCTGTGGAGGCCTGGCGGCATCGATCTTGGGGCGCTGTGACGTTCAAGGTTGAGGCCGCCAGTGTCCAGAATCGGCGGGTGTGGGATGGTCTGGCGATCGGGAAACTGCCGATCGTTCAAGAATGAACGAGTCATGCGGTGTCAGAAACCAATGCTGGGGTCACGACACGAATCTGCCGTATCGCCCCTGCTGGAGGGGCATAGGCCTAGGGGAGGTGTATCGACCGCCAATCGCACATTGATCGCCGACAGAGGCTGGATGGCCCACCCCGCCCAGGACTTTTGGGATGGGCTACTGGGGTCGCCAATCTGGCGGCGATGTAGTGCCTGCGCCGCTCCGCCTCCTCGCTGGCCGTTGTTGCAATGGCGCCGCCGCGCCGCCGCCGCCGCCGCCTTCGTCGTTTTCGTCGTCGCCGCCGTCGTCGTCGTTTTCGTCGTCGCCGTCGCCGTCGTCGTCGTCGTCGTCGTCGTCGTCGTCGTCGTCGTCGCCGTCGTCGTCGTCGTCCTCGTCCTCGTCCTCGTCCTCGCACTCGTCCTCGTCCTCGTCGCCGCCGCCGCCGCCGCCGCGTCGTCCTGCCCCCCCAGGTGGGCCTGCGCGCGGAGGCCAGCAAGTTCCAGCTGCTGCCCCGCCAGGACAGCCCGCGCTGCCTCCCCTCCCCTCCCCTCCCCTCCGCCGCCGCCGCTGCTCGCCGCCGTCGCTCGCCGTCGTCGCCGTCGCGGTTGTCCTCGTCGTCCTCCTCCTCCCCCTCTCCTTTTCCTTTTTCTTCTCTCCTTTTCCTCCTCCTCCTCCTCATCCCTTGGCCTTCTCTCCGCCTCTCCTCTCTCGCCTCCTTTCATCTCCTCCCGCCCCCTTTACAATTACTCAATATGAATACTACTCTCCCTCTTCCCCTGATGACGGCCTGGGAGTGTGCGACCCCCCCCCGCGTATTGTTTTTTTACACACAGGTTTCCCCGGAGTTGGGTTTTCGCCTGCACTTTTGTTCAGAATGCTGCGCTCGCTGAGGCGCCGGCCTCATTTTCGGGCCCCGCTCGTTCCGAATCGTGCTCCCGCTGCAGCGCTGGCCTCATTTCCGTGCTTCCGCTCGTTCCGAATCGTGCTCCCGCTGCAGCGCTGGCCTCATTTCCGCGCTTCCGCTCGTTTCGACTCGTGCTCCCGCTGCAGCGCTGGCGTCATTTCCCGTGCCATGCCACGGCATGCAATGCAATGCTCGGTTGATGCTACGCTTTGCGGTGCTCTTCTACGCCATGCCATGCCGTGCTCTACAACGCATCGCGTACCCTTTCGGGATCATTGCCCTGCTCGACATCCGACTGTGCGAGTAGAGAGGGGATCTGCGCCATGGTAAGGGATGGGAGGGAGGGGTAGGATGTCAGATATGACGCGAGCGCGCCTAGCTTGATTCATCCCCTCCCTCCCTCCCTCTCTTCGTCCCTCCCTACTCGTCTTCCCCATGTCCCTCCCTTCCTTCTTCTCCCTCCCCTCCCTCTCTCCGTCCTCTCGCCACCCTACCCCCCAACTTCCTCCTCCTCCTCCTCCTCCTCCTCATTCTCCCACCATTCCCTCTTCTGCCCCCCTCCTCCCAACCCTCAGTCTCCTCCCTCCTATCTTCTTTTCTCCCGCTCCTCGCTCCTTCCCCTTCCATACTCCCTCCTCAGTCCCACTTCCTGATGTTAGTCAGCGCGGACCCCGAACAGTAGGTACTTCCACCTTCGATGTGAAATCCATGCGGTTAATCTATGCTCTGTGTTCCGTGTTTGGTGCGATGTATGGTTTGCAATTTATGTGGTGCAAGCTATGTGGTGCCAGCAATGTGGTGCAATCTATGTTGTGCGAGAGCTGTGTGCTGCAGGCTCTGCGGTGAAAAGCCGTTTGATGCAAGCCATGTGGTGCATTGGTATATGCGGTGCGTGCAGTGCGCTGCAAACCATGTGCGATGCAGTCTGTACATGGTGCAGCACGTGCTGTGCAAAAGATGTGTCGCAGGCTATGTGGCGCGAGGAGGACGAAGAGGTTGAGGAATGTGGGGGACGAGGAGGAGGAGGAGGAGCAAGAGGAGGGTGAGGGAGGAGGAGGAGGAGGAGGAGGACGAGGAGGAGGAGGAGGACGAGGAGGAGGGAGGAGGAGGAGGAGGAGGAGGAGGAGGAGGAGGAGGAGGAGGGAGGAGGAGGAGGAGGAGGAGGAGGAGGAGGAGGAGGAGGAGGAGGGGGAGGAGGAGGAGGAGGAGGAACCTATGATTGTGGTGCAGGCTACATGGTGCGGGCAGTGTGGTGCGATCCCGCGCACGGGGCGCCCACAAGTGCCAGGCGCGAGCGGCACCGGGCGAACCCCCGCCAGATCCAGCGCACAGGCATCGGGCGCCTGGCATCGCTCGGACGTGTGCATCTTGTTCTCGGCGAGGACCATCGAGGACCATCCTGGCCCATCGAGCCAACAAAATCACGCGCGAAACCGAAAAATGCACGGGAAATGGACGTCCGAGCGACGGCAAGGGCGGGCATCGGGCGGGCATCGGGCGGGAACCCCGCTACGCCCACCCGGCGCGCGGGGCGCCAACGGACGGGCACGGGTAGGCGCCACCTGGGCAGGGGGTTGCGAAGGATAGGAAGAGACAAAAGCATCAGCTTTTGGCGCTCCGCGCGGGTTTTCTTGGATCCGCGCTGGGCCGCCCCCCCAGCGGCGCCTCCGGCGCCGCCCCTGGCGCGCTCTGCGAGCCAGGGAGGGGGGTCCAGCGCGAGTCCAAGAAATCCGCGCGGAGCGCCAAAAGTTCATGTGTATGTTTTTTTTTGTTTTGTTTCTTAACTTCTAAGGTTGAAGAAGAAGGGATGGCTATCAACATTTGGCTATTGCTCCAGTGCCGTGCACGACAGTCAGATACGCATGGAGAACATGGCCTGCGGAGGTCGGGGCCCTCGCCCGTCACTTCCAGCAGTTCTGCTCAGACGTCGACGCCGTGCAGCAGCTACGCGAATGGAGGGCGACTCCTTCTCAAGGTGTCGGCTCCTCCTGGAGACTCCCCGCAGTGTTCTGACCAGAAGCGTGTCACTACACCCTGCGAGATGCTTAAGAAATCATGGATTAAGAAATTCATAGTCTCAGAATTTGAGTAAAGACCCAGGATTTCGATTGAAACCTTAGGATTTACCATGAAACATTAAGAATCATCGAGACTCTGGCCGAAAATTTAAGTTTTCTTAAGCATCGCCTAGGGTGTACGCCACAGTTGCACGGACGGAGGACGGGCCCGCCGCGGGGCTCTCGCCGGATCTCCTCTGGAGCGCTGTCCAGGTGCCCGCGGGAAGTCCGCCACCGCGCCAGGGCAGCGCCCTGTGTGACAGCCCTCCGAGCACCTCCCAGGAGGTCGTCACGTGTGCCACCTCTCGCCTCTGCCCTGTCCCCTCCTGCATGGTGGCACAATTCGATGCGGTAGGTTCGTGTCGTGTCGACCGGCGGCGACCCCTCCAGCGGCGTTCAACTTTGAACGCCGCGGGCGACCCAGATTCTTTCGATGTGGAACGATTTGGACGTTTCGGAAATGGCCGATCGTTCAAGGTTGAACGGTCCCCGCGGTGTCAGAAACCAACGCCGAAGTCGGCACGACACGAACCTGACGTACAACGGTACCCCCGTGTAAGTTTCCCTCCGCCAGCGCAGTTACCCTACCTAGCCGCCGACGCAACCAGTGTGACACCTCTCGCCTCCGCTTCTTGATGAGTTCTTAGGGGGACTAACTGGGCCGGCTTGGGCCTGTCTTGGGCTCGTGTGCCGCAGTCGGCGGGAACTCTTTGGGGCCGTCTTGGGGCCCTCTTGGTGTGGCCGATTTGCGACCTTGGGCCGTCCAGGGGCCCTCTCAGGCCCCAAAGTGGGCAAGTTCGCATGCGGGATGGCGCCCACCTCGACAGCATGAGGCTCCGCCCACGGCCTCAGTGGGCGCGTTCCCATGCCGCGGGGGCGCCCAGCTCGGCGCACCCTTCACGAGGATCGTGGTCCTAAGGGGCGCCTCACAGACGGCCTCAGTTGGCGTGTTCGCCTGCGGTGCGGCGTCCACTGCGGCGCGCCCACTCACGAGGATCGTGAACCCATACGGAGCTGCACCCACCTACGGCCTCAGAGGGCGCGTTCGAGTGTGAGGTGGCGCTCATTTCGGCGCACCTCTCACGAGGAGTTGTGGCCCCACAGGGAGCTCCGCCTTCGCGCTTCGTGGGCCAGCTCGCGTGCCGCGGATTTGCCCATCTCGGCTCATTCCTTACGATCCCTCGTCGCTGCGCGCTTGCGCTTGGTCCGCCGCCCCCCATCCGCACTGCCCCGGGTTCTGTCCCTGTCGCGGCGCACTACCTGTGAGGAGAGTGTCATATCATGCGTTACTCGCAGCTGCACAGTGTTCGGTCCCTCGCCAGCGGGGCCTCTTTTCTTGGTGTAGTAAGCAGTGACGTGTGGATGCGTTTCCCAGCGTCGCAGCTGGTGCGAAGGGGGCCGCGAGCGTCACGATTCTCGCTGGCTCCGTCTGGGAGCGAGGTGACCCTTGGCAGTCCCAGACGGCGCTGGCAAGAACCGTGACGGCGGATAGGTGGGTAGGAGCGGCGGCGGTAAAAGGGGGTTCATGCGAATGATTTGAACAGCGAGCTCCAAGAGCGACCCTTTGTGCCGCGGATGGGATTCGTCGGCTACGCGTAGGAGTGACCCTTCGCCAGGGTGACCTTTTCGGCGCGGGCCCACGGGGGTCCTCCCGGGCACTCGCTTTCGCGCCTTGATTTGCCCCTCCACCCCCCCGCGGCCCCTTAAAGCCGCGCGCCACAAGTTCAAGCATTGGCGAAGCGTTTTGACCTGCCCATAGGATAGGCCCACCAAAGCATCTTCTAACATTTTTTTGGGCTTGCACCAAATTCTCTTAGAACATTTCTGGCTGAGACCGTCCTGTTTTAATGCATCGGTGCTATGTTCTAAGAATATGTTTTTTTGTTTGTCCGAGAACATTTCGTGGTAGGCCTATTGGAATGCCAGGCTGGTCGGTCCCTGCTCAAAAGTTCACTCTTGTCCAGGGTCACTCTTGCGTGCAGTCGAACGGGGTGGTACAGTCAAAACTGACGGCAAGGACGAGCCCTTTCCGTATTCTTTGGCGCGTTTTCGGTGCCGCTTGTCAAGAGCATTTTTGCGGGCACAAGGGCGCAAGCGGCCCGTCCCAAGGGTTTTGCATCCTTACATTCCACCCTCATGACTGATTTTGACTGGAGGTGTTTGCGGGAGGCGGTGACAGGGGCGCTTGCCAGTGACTTGGATGATCGTTCTCCATGGGCGACCCCTCCTTCCTCCACCGCGGGCTGGGTTCGCATCGACGATGCGAGCGGTCTGGTCGACCTGCGGCTGAGGGCAGCCTCTGAGCTCGGCCTGTGCCTCTGGGAGCCGTTGCCTTGGGCCTGGGGGCCGCGAGAGAACGACCCGCGATGATCGGGGGCTGCCACTGCGGGGGTGATGACTTGGAGGGGTGGGGGGTATAGTGGCTGGGGCCATGGATCGAAGAACAAAGAATGGCAGACACAGGAGCTTCTGTAGGTCCGCGCGGGCTTCTCGGATCGGCGCCGGAGCCTTCTGGCATGCGCCTCCAGCGCCGCCCCCGGTCCGTGCGCGCACTTCGGCCAATTCTTTGCGACCCCTCTTCCACGCCCCCCGCTTGGGCGCCCCCGAGTAAGGAGCTGCCTCTGGGGATACATGGGCCGAAAGTTTTTGGCCCCTGCTCCATCCTCAGGGCCCCAGGGTCACCATTTAGGGGATAGGCTCAGGGGGGGGATGCATCGACCCCCATTCGTCCATTGATCGCCGGTATGGTCCAGATAGCCCATCCCGTCCAGAGCGTGCGGAGTCGCCATCAGGGGCCAATCGCCGATCTATCGGCGATGCATCGCCGATTCCAGCTCGATGTTTCCCCCCCTGGGCCCGTCCCACGTTGCCCCTCATGCCAGGCCTGCTTGGGCAAACCGGTCGAGAATTCTTCGGCCCACGAAGGCGTCGGAGTTTATTGCTTTATTTATTAATATCGATTCAATTACTTCGATCGTTTTTGATTCGATTCTCTTCACGCCCTCTCTGTTAGTGCTTTTCTGCAGTCCCCCGCGCCGCCCGTCCTGCCCGAGTGTGCCGCCTGTGCCAGGAGGATCTCTTCTACTACCAGATCTCGCTGTCGAGCGTCTCCAAGCACCACCTCAACGACCTGCGGAAGCTCACCACCGTCAAGCGGGAAGACCGCATCGCGATGCCAGACGAGGTGGTCCTCCTCTTCCTCCTCATCCTCGTCGTCGTCGTCGTCCTCCTCCTCCTCCTCCTCCTCCCTCGTCGCTTCCGGCATCCCCTCCTCGTCGTCCTCCTCGGCCACCCTCTCGTCCGTTCTCCTGATCCGTTTTCTGACGGCCCCGGGCCTCGGCAGAGGACCCCCAGAGGCAGAACATTTGCCAGACCAGGAGCGAGCTTGAAGCAGGGGAGCGATGGGTGGGGACGTGGTGACGACGAACACGAGGACACTGACGAGGACGATGATGCTACTGCTGATGGCACCGGCGATAATGATGACGTCGGGGGGCGAAGGCGATGGATTCTGAAGGCGAGCGTAATGACAATGGTTAGAGATCGGTGATATCGTGCATGGTGACGACGGTAATGGCGATGGTGCTGTTACAACGACGTTATGATGATGCTGCTGTTGATGACGATGATGACGATGACGACGACGATGACGATGATGCTGACGATGCTGCTGATGACGATGATGGTGATTATAAACTTGATGAAGGGTGATGACGGTACCCACGCTGACTATTGTGATGCGGATGATCAGGGGCACGATTTTGTGGTGATGACCATGGTGAGTATTATGATGGTTGTGGCGATGGTGGAGGCGGTGATGATGTGATAGTGGTAATGCCGACGACGAGCGATCCCGAATGAATACTGAATGTGGCCGTGGTGATAATTTCGACGACGATAACGATAATGATGATGCTGATGATGATGGTGATGATGATGGTGGTGATGATGCTGATGATGACAGTAATGCTGCTGATGATGATGGTGATGATGGTGATGATGATGATGATGATGATGATGATGCTCACGATGATGCTGATGAAGCTGATGATGCTGCTGCTGATGATGATGCGGTGGAGGGGGACGATGGTGCCGACGATTGCGATTCTGATGGCGATGGTGACGACGACGACGACTACGACGACGGGACGGCCTCTACTACTACGAACACGAGCATGACGACAATGACGATGGTAGTTATGATGCTCATGCTAATATTCAAGCTGCTGCTGTCGATAATGATGATGGTGCTGATGCTGTTTATGATGATGATGGTGATGGTGAAGAAAACGAGGATGATGATGATGTTGACGATTGTGATGATGATGCCGATGATGATACTGCTGATGATGGTGATGATGATGAAAACGATGATGATGCTGATGATGATGATGATGATGATTATGATGATGCTGATGGTGATGATGCTGCTGATGATGCTGATGATGATGTTGATGATGCTTCAGACGATGATGATGAGGATGACGGTGATGGTGATGGTAATGGTGATTGTAATGATGACGATGATGGATGAGGATGATGATGATGATGAAGAAGAAGCTGGTGATGACGATGCTACTGATGATGATGGTGGTGCTGCTGCTGATGATGATGATGATGATGACGATGCTGATGATGATGATGATGATGATGATGATGATGATGGTGATGGTGATGGCGATGATGATGATGCTGATGACGATGATGATGATGATGATGATGATGAGGATGATGATGATGATTATGATGATGATGCTGCTGATGATGACGATGACGATGACGATGACGATGAGGATGATGATGATGATGATGATGATGATGATGATGATGATGATGATGATGATGATGCTGATGGTGGTGATGATGATGCTGATGATGATGATGATGATGATGCTGATGATGCTGATGATGAAGATTGGTGGTGGTGGTGATGACGATGCTGATGATGCTGACGATGACGATGACGATGACGATGCTACTGACGATGATAGTGCGGATGCGCATGCTGCTTCTGATGACCCTCACGAGTTGCTGATGTTATGGTCATGGTGGTGGTGATGAGTATGGGGATGATGACCGTTATGATTATGATGATGAGCATGATGATGGTAGCGCGGAAGATACTGGTGATGCTGCCGATGAGGATGGTCATGGTGACTGTTGTGGTGATGCTGATGCCGCGTTCTAGCACGCTTACGGCCCAGGGTCAGGAGTCGGCGGTGGAGGATGCCCCCTGGGGGGCTGACCCGACGAGGCCGTGGGGGACGATGCTGCGGATGCCAGGGAGGAGCAATGGGTAGGGGACAGGAGGAGGGAGGGACCAGGGATATCCCTGGGATGTAGCTGTTCGACCAGCTGGGAGGATGCGGATCAGGAGCCAGCGGTGGAGGATGCCTCGTGGGTCAGGCGTTTCGTAAGGGGGGGCGATACGTGGTGGGCGGACGGAGGGTTGCAGGAATGGGGGCCCGAACGGGCCCCTCCTGAGGCCCCGAAGGTGCGCGAAAGGTGCACGTTTCTTCACCCCTCACGTTCATTGCCCACCCATTATGAAGCAACGTCCGATTGGGGGGTAAGTGAAAGGAGGAGCACGTGGGGGACATGATGGGGAGGGTGAAGCGGGGGACGGGAGAATGTGAGGCTGAGGAGAGATGCTGGAGGAGGAGGAGGAGGGAGCAGGGATATTGCGGGGATGTATGTCAGACCAACTAGGATTTGTGACCTCATGGCAATGTCGCAAAGGCCTGGCCTACCCTCGGGCCTATCCCGAGCGACCAGGTTGGACCTGCCCATAACTGCCTGCCTGTGGTGGGTGAGCCCCGTGGGGAAGAGTGAAAGGAGGAACACGTGGGGGTCGATGGGGACGATGTTGCGGATCACGGGGGCCAGGGAGGCTGATCAGATACGGTGGAGGAGGAGGAGGAGGAGGAGCAGGAGGAGGAGAAGGAGGAGGAAGACGAGGAACAAGAGACCCCAAGCTCAGCTGGGGCGAGGTCCCTTCGAGCGGGGATGGACGCAGAATAGGACGGAGAGGAGGGAGACGAGGATGAGGACGAGGACGCTCGCGAGGATACGTAAGGGCAACCGCGAGGACGAGGACCATGGCGAGAACAACGACCGACGGCCGCCGATGACTGCGACGACCCGCGACGACGACGACGACGAGGACGACGGCGAGCGACGACCCGACAGACGGCCTGTGGCGACGACGGGCGACGACCCGCGACCTGCGACGACGACGGCCGGCGACGTCTCAGCGGCGCCCGCGGCCGACGGCGGAGCCACGACGCAGACGCGTGGCCGCTGGTCGAGGGGGCGCGCGGCAGCGCCCCTCGGCGCGCCGAGCAACTCGTGGCCGCCGCGGTGGGTTTCGCGAGGCGTCGTGCGTCGTCGTGTGTGAGCGGCTCTGTCCTCCCTCCTCCTCCTCCTCCTCCTCCTCCTCCCTCCTCCTCCTCCTCCTCCTCCTCCTCCCTCCTCCCCTCCCCATCCTCTCCTCCTCCTCCTCCGATATCCCGCGTTCCGCCTTGCCCCGATCCGCGCCGGGCGCGGCCAGCCCGTTGCCCGACGGGCGCCTGCACCCGCCTCGGCTCTCGGGGCTCAAGAGACGGAGGGGGCAGTGCAGACGTCGGCGGCGAGCGAGGGGGGGAATGAAGATAAGGAAGGGCTTCTCAGACGGCGGTGGGACTTCTCAGAAACTCTCGCGCCTTCCGATGAGTTTTTTTTTTGTCTCCGGGGAGGCCTCAGAAGACTTCTCAGAAGGCCTGGGGACTTCCGAGCCTTCTGAGAAGGCCCCCGCCCCTTCTCGCTTCCCCCCGCGCTCGCCGCCCAAAACGGGGGTCGGTCGGAGCGCCGGCTCTTGCAGGATCCTGCAGAGCCAGGGGTGCACGGACCCGGGCTTGGGCGCAGGATCCTGCAGGATCCCGCAGGATCCTGCAGGATCCTGCAACGCCCGACTGACCCTGGCTTGGATTGACCCGGGTCAGTGTATCTCCGAGGCTCGCTTGCGCGCGTCGACTGAAAAGTCGTCGTGTGTCGTCGTCCGTTGTCGTCGTCGTCGTCGTCGTCGTCGTCCAGTCGTGCCCGCGCCGTGAACACCCACGACGAGCGCCTCTGGCCGTCGTCGGCCTCGAGGGGCCCCTGCCCGGTGCCCCGATCAACAAAGACAGACTTTTGGGCCCCGCATTGCAAACAGATCAAGGCATCGGATGTCCGAGTTCTGAGGAGGAGAAGATATACAGTCGGCCCGGATTCGTAGGGCGACTCTGCCGAATCAAGGGTACTCTTGTGTCCTATCATCGCGCGTCGTGTCCTCTGCAGTCTTGGGGCAAGGTGCCCTTGTTGGAGGCCACGTTGCCGTTGGACGAGTCTTCTGTCCTGTCGCCCTGTGCAACCAATTCTGCCTGTACACCGATGCCGCTGCTCGTCCTGGAGGGCTCTCATCGCCACGTCGGGACTCCTCAGAAGTTCTGGTCAGGGAGCAGCGGTATCGGTATTTGTCTGTTGCCCCACTCGTTGTCGTAGGCCGTCGTCGTGGTCGTCGTCGTCGGCGTCGGCGTCGGCGTCGGCGTCGTCGTCGTCGTCGTCGTCGTCGTAAGCCGCCGTCGACGTCGGCCCCTGCGCAGTTGGAGTCGCCGCGCAGCAACGCCCCGCGCGCCATGCGCCTGATGGGCGTCGGGGAGTTCGGGGCGACCCCCACGCGCCGGCCCCGGGCCAGCCTGGACCCAGGATCGCGGATGGAGGGGGCTCGAGGATCGAGCGGGGTCCGATCACGCAGAAAGCAGGAGGAGGAGGAGGAGGAGGAGGAGGAGGAGGAGGAGGCGGAGGAGGAGGAGGAGGAGGAGGAGGACCAGTTTAAACCCAAGAGTCATCAACGATGTTGGAATTAACCCTTCCTCCAAGGTCCCTCTTCATAGGCCCCCACAACGGTTCATTTCCATTGAGGCAACTGCCTCGTTGGAAGACAACCGTTTGAATATCCTGAAGCATGCCCAAAAATTGTCCTCGTTATTTCAACGCTACGTATCAACCTGACTGCTGCGTCCTGACGATCCGGAATCGTGCAAGAGAGTCATTTTTGGAACTTCAACACAGCGGATCAACAGAACTGTTGCACCCGCGTAATCCTGAATCCTTCCAAAGTGCCATTTCTGGTAAGGTGATCATGGGAATCCGTGTAACTCTTGTGCT